AAAAAGTCTAAATAAAACTAGAAAAAGTCTAAATAAAAAAAAAAGTCTAAATAAAACTAGAAAAAGTCTAAATAAAAAAAAAAGTCTAAATAAAACTAGAAAAAGTCTAAATAAAAAAAAAAGTCTAAATAAAACTAGAAAAAGTCTAAATAAAAAAAAAAGTCTAAATAAAACTAGAAAAAGTCTAAATAAAAAAAAAAGTCTAAATAAAACTAGAAAAAGTCTAAATAAAAAAAAAAGTCTAAATAAAACTAGAGTTTTTCAGTGTCTAGTCCTAAAATTCTAGCTAACAGAAAGCTTTCTGTTGGGAAGGTGGGAAGCATGTTACAAAATCTATTTTTATGAATATATATCTACCTGACACTGACAATACCCATCTCATGGGCCCTTAAAGAACACAAATCAACAGACCAAACATGAAATTTCTTATCTGTGCCAATAAAATAATATACTAGATATGTCTTGAAAAACTAATGCAATATTTCTGAATTCCTAGAAGCTGTATTTTCAGCTAATTTAGGTGACCAAATGTGCATCACATTTCTGCATTCAAAATACTTTCTGAGTAGAACATTCATGCCAGGAAATAACAGTAAGCAATCAAGAAGCAAGACGCAAAAATGTATTATATGACCCACACACACAACCATATCCTCCCCTCAAGCATTTAATCACTCCCAGGGCCCTTTCTGTTCTCAGTTATTCTTCAAGTTTCCCACATATGCTCCAGTAGGAGCTTTGCTGTACGTAAGAGGTAGTTCATTTATTATTAACTTTGAACAGCCTCTACCCATGAACCCAAGTGATTTTCCCCTCTACAGAAGTGCCTCTTAAAAAGAAAAAAAAAAACAAAAAAGTGGTACAGAGAGTGTTTTCATGAAGACTAGAATCCATTAATAGAAGTCATAACAAAAAGTCTAACTGACATATTAACTGTTAAAATATGACAGTGTTGAAACTGTTTATACTAAATAGGAGATACTCTTTGAAATCTGATGGGAATAATTCCATCTTTGGGAAGTCAGAAAAAATAATAATTAAAAAAATACATTCAACAGGTAAAATTAGACTACTGAAGTTGCAGTGAATGTAAAACATAGGCTGTTGTTTTCCCTTACCATGTTTTTATTACACTGGATTTGTTGTTTCATGCACCTTTGCTGTCTAGTGAAGATTATTAGCTTCAAGAATCTTGTACTCATTTACATTACCAGGTCAAAACCCAAACAAGAAACAGAACATTAAAATCCTGTAATAACTTTGCACTACAAAAGACACTCAACTTACAAGTACTTTGCTCCACTTAACAGCATGAAAGTACTCAGGTATTGCATAAAAATCAAAGAGAAAGATCAGTTGAGCAGTTCCCAAATTAAATGTCTGTTCTGTAGCACACAACTTCAGCACTCAGTGCTGAACAGAATTTCAGCATCCCTGAGGTTTAACATTTTGAAACATATCTTTATCTTATTATAGCAACCTGGTTACAGAAACTGAACAACCAGGAAAGTCTCAGTGACATGTTTAGTTCTGATGAATACTTTGCAACTTCACACGAAGAAGGCTTGGAAATCCTGAGCAGCCTTAATTTCCCAGGCTCTCGTATTAGAGGAGATCAAGACATCTTTAAAGCCTGGGGCTGCCATTATTTTTTCAGGGGCCTTTATACTCCCATCGGGGAATTGGCTTGGTTCAAAATCTTAAATTCTTCCCTATTATTCAGGGAGGGAAAACAAAAAACAAAACAAACAAAAAAAAGCCTACCCAAGTTACAAAAATTGAAATGAGAACTTAACGCAGCATATAGAAGAAGATATAAGAAAAAGCAACAAGAGAGATCCAAAACTTTGACATAACCAATTTACTCAACAGAGGGCTAATCAGGATATTTGACCCTACTAAAAAAAAAAAAAAAAAAAAGTTTAGAAACATTTTCATTGTTAAAATTCTTATTTTTGGAACTGCAGTAGTTTAGAAATACACAGCCACTCACTTCAACTCAACTGAAGAGCCATTAATTTGAACACTGTTATCTGTCATCGCAAATGAGCTATTTCAGTACTGTACCAAGTTGAACCCAAGAGGGGAAAAAAAAAAAAAAAAAAAAAAACATTCACCACCATTCTAAAAAGACACAGCTAAGATGTAGCTGTCAAGTTAATCAAGCTAAATTTTGAAGCAGCGTAGGAAGAGAACTTAATTGCGACTTTCAGACTGTCCCACGTTCACAGATACAATAGGCAAAAAGAAGTATTTGAGCACCTAAAACTGCAACTTATTAAGATTAACAAATGAGTAAGAGGCTTTTTCTTTCTTTAGTGCGCTATACATACATTTAATGGATATAATTCCACATTACTCGTCTATTTTTGTATTTTTGTTTTACAGCAAAATGTCCTTAGATACTGCATGGTTTGAAGTAATATTTCTCACAGTGTACATACTAAATCAGTGCGCATCATACAAAACAGCATGAAGTTACTATCACAGACATTTCTGAGGGGACGCGGTGTTTCAATTTTATGAGGAAAAGGAAAAGAAAGGGAAGGAAAACAGAATAGCAGAGTGAAATCAAATATTAACAATGATGCTGTCAAGTAGATTTCCTAAAGAAAGGACATCTAAAATTAACTGGACAACACTATCAATTCTAGAAAGGAATACACCTGCTTGTAACAAGTGTATTTCACTAGTTAAATTCTTCAGATTTTTCATTTGCGTATCTATAATTTTATTATGTAATTAAGGGGAAACTGCTTCAAAAGCAAATAAATATTTATTGCAAAAAAAAGTTCTTTTTAGGATATCTATTACCCTATATTAAGCAAAGAATAAGATTTTTTTTTTGGATCTGATTTCTGTGTCATTGAATTCACCCACTTTCGAACTCCATATTACATATAACTTGACAATCTCTAAAATGCTTTATTAACCTAAAACTACTTTTACTAAAACCTTTAGTAAAAAGCACTACTCCATCCTAACCTTTTCCAGTGCTTTATTACTCATGTATATTGAAAGTTCTTAATTTGTCCAATCTGTTTAAGGACAGACTGATCCTTAAAAGAATAACTCGACCATCTGCCACTTTTCTCATTCATTTTTTTTCCCTTGACTCCAGCTAGCAGAGAAGAAAAAGGAGAGAAAGAAGAAAAAAGAAAACCATAAACATTTAAAAAGAAAAAGTAAGATCGACAAGCAATTCAGTTGAACCTCTGGTTACATGTGCAAGAGGTGGAGAGAGACACCCTTCTTATCTCTCTTACATCTTCCCTTTTGCTGATTAAGGTAATTTATCCTTCATGTTCAACATATAGAAAAATCATCCTCTAAAAATTGTATTTATTGGAATATTTGTGCACTTTTATAGTTTTACCTATTCTAGACAACCTTTCCTTACTAATTTTATTTTATAAAACTAGCTTTCTTTTCGGACCACCTCTAATTTGTCTGCTTTCTTACATTTTGGTACCCACAACACCACTCTAGCTGAGGCCTTAATAGAGCTGCCCAGAGCACAGGAGTTAAATCAACTGTAGGTAGTGTCCCTGCTCATATCCACAAAGTCAGATTTAAGGGTGAAGGATGGAGAGGCTACTTTGAATAAATAAAAAAATAAATAAAAAGAAACACCCAGCTACAAATGCAGTTACAGTCATTTTCCACCATATAGCTGCCAAGCTGTTCCCTAGTTGTCTTTGAGAATTAGATTTTTTTTCCTCTTTATAAATTCACCACATCAAGCCTTTGCTTACTGGGGGGACTAGGGAGAAAATGAGAAAAAAAAAAATGAATTCCAATGACCTCATTTCTACATAGCATTTCCAACACTAAAAATTTTGCCCAAAATTTCGTGAACCAGAACTTCAGGAAATAAGAACCTCAGACTACCAAGTGTATCAGAAAGGAAAACCTAGAGGACAGAGGAGGGTGGTTTTTTTTTTTTCCCCCCCTTTTTTTTTTCTCCTCGTCCTCCTCCTCTCAGGAGAGAGGTAGAACAAAAAGGTATCTCAGATCTTTGAAGATTGAAGAAAACAGAAGCAAGAAGATTTGGCCAGCATCACAGGAAAGAACATTACAGCATATGCCCTTGGGCACCAAAATTGATTAATGGAACACTCATACACTGACCTTCTTCAGGAACATTTATTTTAACACAAGGTCCCTTGGTAGGCCTCTCACATTAAAAAGACAAAGCAGTTTCATATCCAGTTTGATTCTGTTATGTTGCTTCTGCCTGGCATCACTGAAAGCTCTGTGCGAGCTGCACCCATGGTTAAAAAACTGTATTTTGCAAATCTACAAAAATATAATCACTGACTTTAAGGGAACTACACGCACAATCTTCTAGCATGAGAGGAAACACCTTGTGCTTGTGGCGAATGCATTACAAATTTCACACACTTTTAAGGAATGTAAATAACATATATACAATGTCATACTGATGTGTACACTGATGTATACTTCTGCAAAAAAACACACATGCCTCCTGTGTTAACTTCCCCTTCGCTCCCCAAAATGCAAATTTTTAGTGCTTGCAGTACCTACAGGTGTGAAATTCCCACAGAACTATTGCATATACAAGCAGTACAGATGCATATATACATGTTAATTTAAATAAACACAATAAACAAAACTATTAACATTGTAGACCAGGTGGACCCTTTTGGAGAGCAGACAAGCACGGCCTGTCACTTAGCAAACACCCGGAATCCAAAAAAACTGGAGGCAGCAAGTCACCCAGGAATGTCGTAAAGACCTTGTGTCTATTGCACGCCGAGACGTTTCTTCCATTATTTTTAGCAGTACTGACCAGAAGTGAAACAAAGAAGTGTTACAAATTAGGACGTCAACTGAACTAGCTTGAGGCAGAGAGCTCCAAAAGGTACCGGTCCTTTTATTAAATAAATAAATAAAATAAAAAAGTACGTGCTATTCAAGATAAACCATTCCATCAGCAGGTCGGGGAGAGGCTCCCCTCCTCGGTGCTGCCCCAACACCTCCGCAGACACCGGGCCGTTGCTGCCCGCCTCCCCAGGGCTAGGAAAGCCTTGCAACAACGGCAGAAAAGATCCCCAAATCCCGCTGCCCAAACCCGCTCCGTGTCATCCATCCCCGGCACTTCACCCTCTTCACCACCTGGCAGCCGCTGAATACGAGAAAAACGGTTTGCAGGGAAGATTTGGTTCAGGTTTGACACCGAAAACTGCCTTATAAGGTATAAAAGCCTGAAAGCAGGAAGAGGCTTTGACAAAACTAAGGAAGTTCCTCTGCGCTTGCTCACTAGAGGGGGAGGGTGGTTTTTTTTCCCC